TATATATATATATATATATAAATAAATAAATATATATAAATATTATTGATAATTACATACTATATATATATATATAATATTTACAAACGTGCTTTCGATGTGACGTACGATCGCGATGATCATCGACGTTAGTTTAAACAAAAATAAAAAATCAAGAAAAAAGAAAAGAAAAAATATTCTTCTTTCTCTATCCAATTTTTTTTTAATCTTACAATTATTATAATATTCATTTATTTAAATAAAACATTCATAAAGAAAATCTAATCTAACAATCTTCATCGTGTATCGGGTGTTCACGAGCCGAAAGTATACGAATTTTTTTGTTTCATTTTCATTTCGTCGTTAGTATGTGTGTGTGTGTGTGACGAACAAAATTTATTCAACAAACAAACAAACAAATATAAAATAAAATAAAATAGGAAGACGAGCTTTCAAAAATCGAACAATGATGCATATCGTATATTATTATTATTATTATTATTATCAATAATAAGAAGTTATTCGTAGCTTCTCTTTTATCTCTTGTAAATATAATATAAATAAACATATCCATATATATATATACACTATATACAAAAAAATATATCGAGATACGTATAATAATATCGTAAACGCGCGTGAGTGGATGAGATTATTGCTAAAGAGAGACACGAATAGATAAAAAAAGAAAAAGAATAATAACGAGATGTGAAATTAATAAATAAAAAAAGAGAAAATAAGAAAAAGTTAAAAAAAAAAGTAAAAAAAAGAACGAATCTTGCGTATCAAATACAATACTTTGCCTACTTGTTTATTATATGAATATAAATATAGGCTCAATCGTCTAACATTTTCACGGGATTCATGGAAAAATAAAAAAGGAAAATAACAAAAAAAAAAAATATATATATATATAATCGAACCAAGGTGTATGATAATTATTTTTTGTTTTTGTTTTCAACAGCTTGTTCACACTTTAAAAATTGTTATTAAATATATAATTAATTGAATTTATTCAAATGTAGGTTTATTCCTTATTATTATCCTAATTTTGATGCTTTCCAGTTTGTTGTTAACGAATCGTTTGTTAATCCGTCCGCGGGTAAAAAGTAAAACAAATCTATTAATTAAAAATATTACATATCGTCTATACGTTCTTACGAAGTTTTATTTAAAAAAAAACAATATAATAAAATAAAGAACACAAGAACAAAAAAATATAAACGATAATAAATAAAAATAAATACAAAGCATTGAAATATTAATCGATCGAACGCGTGCATATATTATAATTCCGTAAAAAAGAAGAATAAACGATATGCGTGTGTGTATTTACAATCCACACACCTACACATATATATACATATATGCACACACGTTAAATTAATAAAAAATCTAACATGATCGTGCAATGTGATTTAATTAAAAATATCTTACAATGAGTCATTAAAATTTGCAATAAAACGAAATAATTACAAATGCAGAAAGAAACGACAGGAAGAATAAACAAAAAAGAGCAAGAAATTAATTAATAATTCGTTCTTATTAACAACTATCTCTTATAATGTTAAAACAATTCGAAGGACAAACGTCCACGCAAATAAATAATAAATACACATGAACAACACATCGAATACTAAAAAACACATACACTTATACAGCCACACGTGCAGTAAGAAAAAATATAAACGAACAATTAAGCACGAGAGAGATTCATTACACAAACACAAACATAAACAGACACATACAGATATATATATATATATATAAATATATATAGGTATAGATAAAATACACTTGCGACAGAGACATGTATGTATGTATATTTAAAAAGAAAAAAAACTCAAAACGAAAAAAAAAAAACAAAAAAGAAAAAAAAACCAAACCAAGTATCGAATTGCGTATGTAATAATTGAAACTTATGACACTGTAATGTTGTTGAATTGGTTATTAAAGATGTCATTGTTACCGAAGAATATCACGTCTATTATAATAATTTCATAATATATCTCTCTCACATCCCTATATATATTATATTTATAATTATTATTATTATTTTCTTTTCGTTTAATTACAATGATTAACAAAAAAAATCAATGTTATTCATTATAATCGTAATGTTTGTTAATAAACGCGAAGTCTCGTGCGTTAATATCACAGTCAACATTTTTTAATTTTCATTATTGAGAATTAAAATACGTTAAAATAATTTAGCTTAATCTCGAGAATATTCCTTTTCCTTTCTAACGATAATTAAAACAACTCTCTTGTATAAATTATTAAAATTAAATAAAAAGAAATATATATATAATAACTATGAGTGAACGATTAAAATGATTGAAAGTATTACTATGAAAGTTTATGAATTACAAAAAACAAACAAATAAAAAAAAAGAAGAATTCGATTGTGATGAATTATAAAAAAAAAATTATTAATAAAAAAAAAAACAATATATGAGCGAACGAATAAAAGGATTGGAAGGGTTGAAACCTTTGAAAGGTTGTCGCAATGGCACGCGTCGTTAGGAATTCGTGTCTAATGAAAAAGAGAGTAGAAATTAGAGGGGTAGAAGGGGGGATGGGGTTGAAAGATAGAAAGAGAAGGAAGAAAAAAAGAAGATGGATAAAGAATGAACTATCCGCGGGTCCCAGTGTCAACCTAAACCCATCAAAATGTAATAATATTTATATTAGGGCGCAGCTAAGAGGGTAGGGACGTTTATACAGGGGGAGCGAATGGTTGGGGGGTGTCCCTTTCGACTGGGTGTCCTGGAAACTCCCTAGTACACAATACACAATAATACTACTCTCTCTTTCTATCCTTTTCTATATTTAGGTATATTTCTATCTCACTCTTACCTTCTTTTAGATTACGATATCGATCTAACATGCAATCAGATCGAAAGTTTTGATAGGCTAACGTTATACTTTTTATCTGGATGATTAACAACCATTTCTAGGACGCTCTTGACATTCTCATTACTGTACTTGACAATACAAATATCGTAATATAATTGTTGATTTTAGATCAAAGTATTTTGTATAATATGATTGATACCAATATGAAGAATATTTTTTTGTACTTTTTAGAATTATATACGTTTGTCGGATGAGAGAAAGATATTTCTATTATATTCTCTCGTCTCTAGAATGATTAATAATATTTTTAATTATTCTTTTTTTTGACATCTTTGTCGTTGATATTAAAATTAAAACAAACCAACAGAAAAATGTAAAATAAAAATAATATGTATTTATATAGGAGGAAAGAAATAATATTTATTATTATTGAAATAAAATATTAAATTAAATATTAAAAAAACTATTTAAGAAATTATATGTGAATTTTTAATCAAACGTTTAAGAGTATAAATAGAAAATAAGTTTTTTGATAAATGTAATAAACGATAAACCTAATGAAAGATTTATTTAAAGTCGCATGATAACTTGTTTTCTTTTTAATCTAAAACCGACGCAAAAAAATGAGATCTAAAAATATATACTATCTGCTATCTTTCGCAGTAAAAGTGGCGTTAATCCGAAAATCCGATTATACGGCTCATCGATCTTTAACAACAGCGAGAAGTCTACACACACCCCATAGTTCAATCAATGTGTTTTTCTTCTTGCCTACCTACAAAGTGTATACCCTACGTCTTGCTAGCCTTTTTTTTTTCCTTTTATTCTTCACTATACTCGCACAACCCCTATAACCTTTTTTTTTCTTCTTCTCCTTTTTTTATCCCAATGTCGAATTCCACTCG